GGCGATGGCGATGGCGATGGCGATGGCGACGAGCAGGTACACGGATCCGCATCCATCTGGATGTCTGCGCATGATTGCCACGTCTTGTCCTGCTACCATCGTCGGTGACATGCTCCACTGCCACTGCCACTGCCGTCGCCGCCGCCTCAGATCGCATCGAATCAGACCTCAAGTGCTGACCACCATCTTCTCTGCTTTCGATCCCTAGAAAGAGTCTCTTCACCGACCCTTTCTTCTTCCCTTCTTTTCTCCTTCACCTCGTCTTCTTTCTTCACCCTTCTTTTCTTAAGGAAACCCCACGGCAACCATGTCTTCCACCGAGTCTCCCGCTGCTGCCCCCGCCGAGGCCGTCCCCGCCTCCAACCCCGCTCCCGCCACCGAGCAGCCGGCTGCCGGCAACGGCGAGCAGGCCAACCGCAACGCCGATGCCGCCGCCAACAACACCTCGCTCTACGTCGGCGAGCTCGACCCCTCCGTCACCGAGGCCATGCTCTTCGAGATCTTCAACATGATTGGTCCCGTCGCCAGCATCCGCGTCTGCCGTGACGCCGTGACGCGTCGCTCGCTCGGCTACGCCTACGTCAACTTCCTCAACGCCGCCGACGGCGAGCGCGCCATGGAGCAGCTCAACTACTCGCTCATCCGCAACCGCCCCTGCCGCATCATGTGGTCCCAGCGCGACCCCGCCCTCCGACGCACCGGCCAGGGCAACATCTTCATCAAGAACCTCGACGCCGGCATCGACAACAAGGCGCTCCACGACACCTTCGCCGCCTTCGGCAACATCCTCTCCTGCAAGGTCGCCACCAGCGAGTCCGGCTCGCTCGGCTACGGTTTCGTCCACTACGAGACCGCCGAGGCCGCCGACGCCGCCATCAAGCACGTCAACGGCATGCTTCTCAACGACAAGAAGGTCTACGTCGGCCACCACATCCCGCGCAAGGAGCGCCAGGCCAAGATCGAGGAGTCGCGCGCCCGCTTCACCAACGTCTACTGCAAGAACGTCGACGCCGACGTCACCGACGACGAGTTCGAGAAGCTCTTCACCAAGTACGGCAAGATCACCTCCTGCGTCCTCCAGCGCGACGAGGACGGCAAGTCCAAGGGCTTCGGCTTTGTCAACTTCGAGAACCACGACGAGGCGCAGACCGCCGTCGACGAGCTCCACGACTCGGACTTCAAGGGCCAGAAGCTCTTTGTCGCCCGTGCCCAGAAGAAGAGCGAGCGCGAGGAGGAGCTCCGCCGCTCGTACGAGGCCGCCAAGAACGAGAAGCTCGCCAAGTTCCAGGGCGTCAACCTCTACCTCAAGAACATCCCCGAGTCGTACGACGACGAGCGTCTGCGCGACGAGTTTGCCCCCTTCGGCGCCATCACCTCGTGCAAGATCATGCGCGCCCCCTCGGGCGTCTCGCGCGGCTTCGGCTTCGTGTGCTACTCGGCTCCCGAGGAGGCCAACAAGGCCGTCTCCGAGATGAACGGCAAGATGCTCGACAACCGCCCGCTCTACGTCGCCCTCGCCCAGCGCAAGGACGTGCGTCGCCAGCAGCTCGAGGCGCAGATCATGCAGCGCAACCAGCTGCGTCTGCAGCAGCAGGCCGCTGCCCAGGGCATGGGCTACCCCGGCCCCGGCATGTACTACCCGCAGCCCGGCGCGTTCCCCGGCCAGCCTGGCGGCATGGTGCCCCGCCCGCGCTACGCGCCTGCCGGCATGATGCCCCAGGGCATGCCCATGGCTCCCTACGGCCAGCCCGGCCAGTTCCCCGCCGGCATGATGCCCCAGGGCTACCGCCCTGCCCGCCCGCCTC